ATCTTTTTTAACATCCAAGTAGCATTTATCTCAGTAACACTATTCAGCATTTGTAAGTGCTTATTTATCTCTCACTGGTCCTCACAACAAACATGTTGAGAGGGAGGGAGGGAGAAGCTATTATTGTTTTGTTCCAACTGGTAGAAGAGTAACTCTGGGTCAGAAATATTAAATCATATGCCTAAGTAAGAGAGCCAGTACTAGAATCCAGGCTTTAACCTAAAGTACTTCTCCACTAGAGTATGCAGTCTCTCATCATCAGGCTCATTTCACAATAAACAATTCATCTCTCCCACAAAGCATACTTTGGTATTCTTGTCAAAGACTAGGTACTGGTCCCTGGGGTGGCAATTCTTAAAGTTTCTAGCAATGCCACTGGTTTAGAGAATTATAGCAAATAGTAAGATACTCAAACGATTATAGTTCATTAGTTGATAAAATAAAATAGGACAAGTAACACTAACCTGGAATAAATAATTCTAAAACCCACATTAAAAAGAACCTCAGGGGCACCTGGGTGGCTTAGTCAGTTAAGCATCTGACTTCGGCTCAGGTCATGATCTCCCAGTTTGTGAGTTTGAGCCCTGCATCGGGCTCTGTGCTGACAGTTCAGAGTCTGGAGCCTGCTTTGGATTCTGTGTCTCCCTCTCTCTCTCTGCCCCTCCCCTGCTCAAGCTCTTTCTCTGTCTCAAAAATAAACATTAAAAAACAATTTTTTTAAACAAAAAAAGAACCCCAAATCCCCCTTCCACAATCTGTCTGTAGTCTTTTCCTTCATAGGTCTAAAATGCAAAAGATAAACAGATAATTCAAGGCCACATTTAAATTTGTACTCCAATCTGCGCCTTATCAGCTGGAAGCTTAGGACCACAGCTCCTTAACAGAGAAACCAAAGTGCCAAGGCCACTTCTGAGTTTCTGATTCATATGAATTTTTCATGCAGGCAAATATGAATGCTGTCTTAACATCTTTCCATGTGTGATACATCCGCAACCAGCAAGTTCCACAATAAGGTTGGATTTGCTTCTTTACTGCACAACATGCACTTCACTTCAAAGTACACAGGGAAATCCAACTCTCTTGAAATAATCTATTAACAGAACTACCAAAAAAAAAAAAAAAAAAAAAAAAAAAAGGAAAGATGTTTCTTTAAAGTAGTTTTGCCAACCAGCTGCCTAGAGACCAGTCACTTCTATGCATTCTCTTTTGTGTTTTTGTGTTCTCTAAAAGTGAACATTTGACTTTGAGTCATCACTTATCCAGGACAAAACATTAGACAAGTAAGATAAAATAAGCCTTCTCCATAAATACAGTTGTCTTCGGTGTGAACATCCCAGGCTCTTATGCAGGAACCCATATGTTCCATGATAACACAGTGCCCTTTCTACACAAGTTCCTAAAGGGTTTGGTGAATTTTTTATCTGACCTTACTGCTGCTGCAAGTCAGTGACCACAGAGGTATCTCTCACTGACATTTACAGTAACTGAAGTAAAAATAAGGACCTCTTTTCTTCAAGTGACACAGAAAACTCAAAGGTCACTGGATAATACACTACACCAAGGAAGAGTGCACCAGTATCTCAGATAAATAGCTTTCTCATGACTACTTTATGGATAAGCCAATAGTACAACTTCAAACTTCTCTTTAATTCCAAGAATTCAAAAATGTTTAGATGATGTCTTTAAAAATAAGAAGCCCTTTTTAAACTTAATTCTTTTCTTATTAATCACTAGGCAAAACAGGGAGTTATCAAAATAATTTAGAATTGCCTCAAGTACCACACCATGTACAATGTTAAGCAAACTACAGACCAAATTCCTAACTTCACAATATCACCTTCAAGTCTAATTACAGGAAGAAATTGAAAATGTTCAAAGAATGATAATCTCAACCAATCACTTTATGACACACTTTTTTCTTTTCTTTTTTTTTTTTTTTTTTTTAAATCTTGCCTCTAGCTGAATAATTCCAAGCAACCTTCTCCCCATCAGCCTGGGGCTGGCAGAGCTGCTGCTATCTCAAAGTTAAAGTCAGGAGTTGCCACCTTAAAAAGACAGAAGTTGCCACAAAAGATGTAGCACTGAGGCACACAGAACAAAAATTAAATAAATTGGGCAGAGATTCAGGTATACTGAAAGGTAAAAGCCCCACTCCCAGTTTCAGAATTTGAGGAAAGAAACTTTTTCACCCACTATTCTACCCCCAAGGCTGCCTATGGACCACATTCTGTGTGACCCACTCCTACTCAATCCAGCTCTCCGTTCCCAAGAGCAACACCTTTCCCTCCTGCTTCCTCAGCACTATGAAGCTCTAAAAAATTGTCCTTTGTGTCCCTAGTCTGTAGCTGAACTCTGAGGCCAAATTATTTTCTCCACTCAAACTGCTCAAACCACATTCCCAACCCACAGTCACATTTCACATAAAATTTGTTCAAAGATCTAGCATTACAAATACTACAATGCATGTGAAATATACATTTCTAAATTTTCAACAAAAAATAAACTTCCTCAGTTAAAACAAGGCCAAGAAAATGCATAATTGCAATTAGAGATACTGCTTTATCTGAGCTTAAAAAGCATGACAACACAGAAAAAAATGATAAATATGTGCATGTTGACAAGCCTTATTGTGTGTGTGTGTGTGTGTGTGTGTGTGTGTGTGTGTGTGTGTGTGTATAATTTTCTTGAATTGGTCTTCATACAAAAAAGGCTATTCAACTGTTCTGCACTGTTGGTGGAAATGTAAACTGATGCAGCCACTATGGAAAACAGTATGGAGATTCCTCAGAACATTAAAAATAAAACTACCATATGATCAGCAATTCCACTTCTGAGTATTCATCTGAAGGAAACAAAATCACTATCTTGCAAAGAAATCAGCACCCCCAAGTTCTCTGCAGCATTACTTACAATAGCCAAGACATGGAAACAACCTAAGTGCCTATCAGCAGATGAATGGATACAGAAAATGCGTTATATATACACATTTATTATCATTCAGCCATGACAAGAGGGAAATCCTGCTATTGGAGACAACACAGATGGACCTTGAGGGCAGTATACTACGTGAAATGAGCCACACAGAAAAAGACAAACACTGTATATAATCTCACATGTAGAATCTAAAGAAGGAGGGAAAAAACCCAACTCATAAATACAGAAAATAGGCTGGAGGTTGCCACAGGTGGGGGACAGAGAGGATGGGCAAAACGGATGACAGGGGACAAAAGGTACAAACCTCCAGTTTAAGATCAGTACGTCGTGGGGATGTAATGTACCGCGTGGTGACTAGAGTTAACAATAGTGTATTGTGTACTTAAAAAGCTGCTAAGAGGGGTGCCTGGGTGGCTCAGTTGGTTAAGCGTCCAATTCAGCTCAGGTCATGATCTCACGGTTCATGGGTTCGAGCCCCGCATCGGGCTCTGTGCTGACAGCTCAGAGCCTGGAGCCTGCTTCAGATTCTGTGTCTCCCTCTCTTTCTTCCCCTTTCCTGCTCACATTCTGTCTGTCTCTCAACAATAAATAAATGTTTAAAAAAAAATTTTTTTAAGAAAAACTGCTAAGAAAGTAGATCTTAAAAGTTCTCATCATAAGAAAAAAAATTTGTAACTATGTATGGTGATAGATAGTAAACATATTGTGGTATTCATTTCACAATGTATACATATATCAAATCACTATGCTGTACACCTAAAATGAGTACATTATATGTCAATTATATCTCAATTAAATTTTTAAAAGAGCTGTTCAAGAGATACGATACACTTGGACAATCTACTACATCTCATCTCCTAATCATTCCTCATTATGTCCCACAGGGAAGAATCTTGCAGGAAAACCTATAATCCTTCCCATGTAGAATTATGATAACTACTCAACATTTCTCGTATTTAAGAAATCATCACTTTGCTTATTTTGGATGCCCAGAAAATTGTGCAATTATGGAAAATGTTGTCTGGTAAAAACATAAAAGGCAAATGACTATATATGTAAATGCAAAAAGAAATCATGATGAAGATCCAATTTAGGTCTCAAAGCCTAAATTTAATTTTTTATTTAAATTCAAAAGTGGAACTTTTAAGTTGTCACTAATCTTAAAATTGATCAAAGTATGCTTCATCAGCTGCATTAACCTGGTAAGCATTTATCCTTAATCAATTGGGAAAGTTTAAGACTCTCTACCTCAATCCTCAGTAATCCAGGGAGTCTCCTGCCCTCAGTGAGTTTAGTGTATGTTACCAACCTACTAGCTGTCCTAGCCTTGGCTAGGCAGTTGTTATAATCAAAGCTGTGACTGCTTAGCCACTTGAAAATATGTCTGAGAAATAATTTTGGTTAAACTTCATGGAAAAATTCTGTGAAAGCTAAAACTTTCAATAACAACACCAAAATAGATCATCAATACAAATCAAAGATTCAAAGTATAACTTAAGAAATAAATTAAAATCACACGAAATTTTCTTATGCCATTCCCTCAAGTGCATTTTTTAAAAAATTATTCTGGGGCCAGATCCAGACTCAACAAGAAAAAGTGCTGTGGGCCAATTATCCTATTTCCACCAGTAGCACTGGTGGGGAAAGGGGGTGTACAGAAACAGAACACATACATGTTTTCTATCCCTACTACCTTTCAGCAAGGCCTAAAACAGTAAAATATTAGAATAAAGCTCCAGTTACCTATACCTAATGCCTAGGAAAAAATATTTCTAAAATAAAGTTAGAGGCTGAAAAACAATACAGTATAATACCTATGCCCCATGGCCCTCTCTATAAGGGATCTTTAGTTACAGCCAGAGAAGCAAAGACTTCATCTGTACCCTTTCTATACAACATAAAATCCTATTTAACCCCTATAAATCTTACTTACTTCATCTTTGAAATGTACAGAGCCACACCACACCAGAAGATTAACATGAATATTAAATCAAGTAAGTATGTGAAGCTCCTAACACAGTGGTTTTCACTGTACCCTAAATAAATGACACTAATACCCTACTTACGCATTTTGTCATGATGTCCCCTCTGCCTAGAATGCCTGTCCTTCACTTCTCCCCTTCTGCCTATCCAAACCACTTCCACTCTTCAGTCTTTTTCAAGTCACTCTTAATGCCTCCTGCCTTATCTACAACACCACAATGGCCTTTTTCAGCTTTAATATCCAATTGTTTACCATCTGTAACATTCATCGTGCTATTTAACAAGACATTGCTCTGAATTTACCTAATATTTCACTGGCATATAGAACAGATCTCAAGCAGAGGAGAAGCTCAAAACCTTCACGGAGTATCATCTCATCCTTCCATGTCTACTTCAACACCTATCAGTGCTTTACAGAAACTAAAACAACATTCAGTAAATAAATGTCGTATGAGTGAATGACCAAATGGAGGCACAGAAATTACAAGCTGTTCTGTTTGGATAAAAAATGTGTGTAAAAGGTAGCTCATGAGAAGGCTCTTGAGAATCCAGAAGAGTAAATGCATGACACATGCTATAACTGAAATCTAGTTTACTTTTAAAACAAAAACAAAAAAAACAAAACAAAAAAAAAAACGCTAAATAAATATCCTCTTTGCATTAAATACCACTTCACAGAAGTTACAAACAAGAAAAGGCATAATGCAATCAATTCCTTACTCAAATTGACACCTCCTATAACATTAAGCACTTCTATAGAGAATATAAAATTTGATAGACATTCTTGGCTCAAAATTAGGATTCTTTTCTCTAATCCATTGTATTTCTAAAGAGACAGCCAGCAGGGGGAGCACAAGCTCACGTACACCAGAATCACAAAATATGTAAGGCTAACAAATTTCTGAAATTCTGAATTTTTTTTCAAGTTAAACTCCTGAACATTAACCATAAAAAGTTAATGGAGCCCATGTGTTTATAAATTATATTTTATAATATTATTTCTAAATCATATAAATACTCCATAAACTGTCACTTCTTACCTCAAGTTCTTTTGTGATATAGGTACATTCCAAAAATTAAATTTGAACATACATCCTTTTTACAGACATAAAGAGAAATCCAAATGACAATGGAGAAAAGCTGCTACTTTCTAAAAGGTTACCCAAACTAAAGTACAAGTCCAGTCTCCTAAGCCCAGCACCCATTCATCAATGCAGTCTTCATCCATTGTTCTTCCCAAAGCCTCATTTGCTGGTCTCCAGGCTGCTATTACGCCCCTCCCCAGAAAGCAAACCTCATTTTTAGTCTGTGACTGTAAGATTTCTCAGAAAATAGTTAAGACCCTGGAAATTCTGAGATACAATTTAGGAAGAGTATTCTCTGTTGACAACTACAGACAAGCATGGCTACAAATGGTATGGAGGAGGGGGTATAACTTGTGGAACAATAGGAAATCCTAATTACCTAAGGCAGAATACTCAGATAAAATTACTCTAAGCAAAAGTTAGTCATGATTGTCTGTTTTCAATAAGAGAAACTGATGGATAGAACCTAAATGTAATACTGAAATTTTCTCTGCTCTGCTTAAAAAGTACTTCTATAGGGGCACCTGGGTGACTGAGTCAGTTAAGCATCTGACTCTTGATATCCGCTCAGGTCACGATCTCTCACTTTGTGAGTTCAAGGCTCCACGTCGGCCTGTGCGTTGACAGCACGGAACCTGCTTGGAAGTCTCTCTCCCTCTCTCTCTGCCCGCCCCTCTTTCTCCCTCACTCTCAAACTTAAAAAACAAAACAAAACAAAAGTACTTCTATATACATTACCATATTTGATCCTTACAACAACCCTTCTGAAAAGCAGGTAACATGCCCATATTTTTTAAGTTTATTTATTTTGAGAGACAGAGTGTGCACGAGGGAGGGGTAGAGGGAGAGGGAGGGAGGGAGGGAGAGAATCCCAAGTAGACTTCCCACTGTCAGCCGCAGATCCTAACAAGGGCTCAAACCCACGAACCGCAAGATCATGACCTGAGCTGAAATCAAGAGTAATACACTCAACCAACTGAGCCACCCAGGCACCCTAGTAACATGCCCATTTTAAAGTTAAGGGAACTGAGATGCAAAGAGATGGTCTCAGTCAAGATAACAAAGCTATTCAAGATAACAAGCGATAGGAAGAAGATGTCAACTTGGGCTTTCTGGCTCCAAAGTCAAAGCTCTTTGCATCACAAATTGTCTTCCTAAAACAAGGACTAGAACACATGTACTGGAAATATGGCTCACCTGGTCACAAAGGCACAAAAACTCTTTTTTCAATAGGTATATAAACAATTATATTCTAACAAATTGGACACCTTAGAAGAAGGAAATGAACAAGTGGGACTACATGAAACCAGAAAGCTTCTGCACAGGTAAGAAAACCATCAACAAAATGAAACACAACCTACAAATGGAAATATTTACAAAACAAAATTGCAACTGCAAATCAAAACCACAATGAGATATTACCTCATATCTGTTAGAATGGCTATCATCAAAAAGACAAGATGTAACAAGTGCTGGCCACAATGTGGAAAAAGGTGAACCTTTCTGCACTACTGATAGGAATATAAATTGGTACAGCCACTACAGAAAATAGTATGGAGGCTCCTCAAAAAATTAAAAATAGAACTACCTTATGATCCAGCAATCCCATTTCTAGATATACATCCAAACAAAATGAAAACAGGATTATCATAAAGATACCTGCTCTCCCATGTTCACATAGCATTATTCACAATAGCCAAAATACAGAAATAACCTTAATGTCCATCAACGGACAAATGGATAAAGAAGATGTGGAATATATACACAAGATGATGTGCATTACTATTCAGCCTTGAGAAAGAAAGAAATTCTGTCATTTGTGACAACATGGATGGAACCCCCAGGGACATTACACTAAATGAAGTAAGCCAAACAAAGGCAAATACTGCATGTTACCACTTTTTGTAGAATCTTAAAACTTTAAAAGAAACAAACAGGGGTGCCTGGATGGCTCAGTTGGTTAAGGGTCCAGCTCTTGATTTCGGCTCAGGTCATGATCTGGCAGTTCGTGGGTTTGAGCCCCGTGTCGAGCTCCACACTGACAGTGTGGGGCCTGCCAGGGTTTCTCTCCCCCCCTCTCTGTCCCTCCCCCACTCATGCTTTCTCAAAATAAATAAACTGTAAAACAAGCAAACTCACAGAAACAGAGTGGATGCCAGGGACTTGGTCAGGGCCAGTGTGGTTGGGGGGGGGGGGGGGTAAAAGGGTACATCATCATCATGATCACAGATAGATACATGACTACAAGTCAATGAAACATGCCCAACGTTGGCCCTGGTAGCAAGCATATCTGTTCTTTTTGCTCTTCCAGTCCAAAGAAACGACAGTGCCATCACTGGCACACTCAAAAATTGTATTTGTAGTCAAACACTGTGAACACAAAAGAGCCAATTATGCACTAATAGCTCTTCAAGGAGCAAACACATTGGTCTTGAAAGCACTACACAAAAGACAATTCTAAAACGACAGCTTCACCTTTTATACTTTTTCTTTAACTGGTTTAACAAATAGGTTTCACTCATACCCAGCAAATATTAAATACACAGTGCTAGAAAAGCTGGAGAGCAATATGTGACATTAAAGTTCAAATGGACAAATATAAATATATAATAGGATGTGTTTTACAATCAATGACCCCGCTTTTCAGTCATCTAGGTGGGAAATGTAGGCTTTTGTTATATATGTACAAATTAAATTTTTTTAAGAAAAAACTACCCTCTTCTTCCATGAACCTAAAACCTCCAGAAGGACAGGTTTCAAAGTCTTAACACTCCACAATCTATTCAAATGCTGCTTTGTTTTGTTTCAAATATTATTCAAACCTTTGTGCACTTCAAGTTTAACTCTTCCCCCTACATCTTGACATTTCTATCAGAAGTCTAGAAAGCCCTCACTACAACTTACCATCATCCTCCCCAGGAAAAGTGCCCCAAGAGGTCTTTCCGGCATAAAGTTGCCTGTGTCTATCAGCGAAGATGACCCTACTATTTTAGTTGTGTCAGATTAAATCAAGAATTGGTGTTCCAGCCTAAAGCTGCTGTGAACTGAATGGACACGTAGGGTCAAACCCGGCCCAGGGTTAACTGCACATGGGATGGTGACATATCTATCCAAACAGACCCTCCATATACACTAGGGCACAGAGAAGGCAGGTCACTAGAGTTCAGGCGGTACCCCCAAGTTATTCTAAACTCTCCATGAGGATTACTCCATATTCTCTAGCCTGGGAAATACTAGGGTCCTGAGTGAATGTGCAACTAACAAGCAAATAATACCCTATACTACGGCACACTCCTCTCAATTAAGCCCCATGCCTGAAGGGAGATCTCCTCTGCACAAACCTAAAAAAAAGTCTATCTAACACAATTGATGTACTTCTCTAGACATAGCAACACATTCACACATCCCACACATGGACCTGGTCACTGGACAGCCGTGCCTTCACATAAACACTATACTCCTCTGGCAGCAAGGGCAGGTAAAGTTGAGGAGAGACCCTTTCCATTACATAAAATTCTCTCTCATCACAATCAACCATAATAATCCTGAGCTGCCTGACAACTCACCTCCTTCACGAAGACTTCTCCAACTGATCCAAGTGACATTAAATTATTCCATGACCCCTCAATATATTTAGTTTGTTCTCTAAATCACACATTTCAGTTAACTTTTGAGATTCAGTCCAACCTATAGTAACACAGAAATTAACCTCATGCTAAACATTATTTTAAATTTGCTGGGTTACAATTTTTGTTTTATAAAGACCTTTATTCCCCCATGATTTAACCGGTATATTCATTTATACTGTATCCACAGTATGGTGTTCTTCAGAGTCTTTTATAAACAGTATTTGTCTCCCCAATGTAAAAACTAAAGTCTTGGGGCATCTGAGCGGCTCAGTCGGTTAAACGTCCGACTTTGGCTCAGGTCATGATCTCGCGGTCTGTGAGTTCGAGCCCCGCGTCAGGCTCTGTGCTGACAGCTCAGAGCCTGGAGCCTGTTTCGGATTCTGTGTCTCCCTTTCTCTCTGACCCTCTCCCGTTCATGCTCTGTCTCTCTCTGTCT